ATAAATTCGTCACCTTCTAAAATTTTAAAAATTCGTCATCTAATATAAAATTATGCATCAACCCTAGGCCTGTAAACAAACCGAACAAACACGAACGGAGGTATGTTCATGTTCATTTGTTTAACCGAATAAATGAACGTACACGGACATAAACGAACAAAAAATTTATTGTTTGTGTTCGTTCGTTAAGGGATGTAGCTTGTTCGTGTTCGTTCATTTAAATGATAAACGAACACAAATGAACGAACATAAACGAACGGATGTAAACGAACGGATGTAAACGAACATAAACTAACACAATAAACAAACATAAATGAAAATATATTTTTTCTTTCCTAACAAATTTAGGATTATATTTTATTTAATTATTTTGAGTTTTTTATTTGTACTTAAAATCAATTGAATTTTAAAATATTTATGGGTATCATATTAAAATTTATTGGGCTTTAATATTTTAAATGAGCCTAGATAGATTAGGCTAAACATAAATGAACGCACATAAAAGAACATAAACGAACAAACATAAATGAACGAACATAAACAAACATATTTAAACATTCACGAACGTAAATGAACGAACGAGCCCTCTATTCCTGTTCGTTCATTTAATTAAACGAACACAAAATCTTATTCATGTTCGTTCGTTTAAGGGTCACCTTTGCCCCTGTAATAGACCCAATTTATCATTTTTGCCCATATCGTATTTTCGTATCAATTAAGCCCTCGAAGTTGTTTAATTGTGTCATTCTATACCATTCCTCTAACTTAAAACCTTAAATTATAAATCACAAATTAATGTATAGGGTTTAAGGTTTTGATTTAGAGGTAATGGGATTATTATTTAAGGTTTATAATTTAGGGTTTTAAGTTAGGGGTATAATATATAATGATGTAATTGAGTAACTTTAAGGGTTAAACTGATGCGAAAATACGGAAAAAATGATAAATTGTAACTACTGATCCAAATCTAGCAAATTCTAAAGTTTGGTACGTTGATTACTATGCTGATAAGAAGCAAATTAGATATGTTTACACTTTAACCTTTGGTTTCTTTTTGGCAAAGAAACCCCCCCCCCCCCATTGCGCTACTTTTGGTATCCAAGAGATTCACTTAGATCCTTTGCTTTTTGCCTTTTTCTATTTTACTATTGCATTACCACCAATAATTCCATTTCTCAAAATTAAATTTGATGTCTGTTACATATTCCACTGCCATTTGATCTGTGGGACAATGAAAAAGATTAGACCTAAGCTGAAACCGATGCATTGAATTAACCAAGATTTAACGGAACACACCTCTCTGTTAATCCATCATTTTTGAATCTTTAATTCATAGCAAAATCTTACATATTCGTAAAAGTGTCGCAAGTTACCAGAGATTTACTTCAAGATAAGCCCTCCAACTTTGTTTAACAGTGTAATGAAAACGATTACATTGATGAAATCAAAATATTTGATCTACCACTTGGTTCATTGGGATGAGACACTAGATTCGTAAGCAATGACAGAGGTTCGAATCTGATCATTGCGAATGAAGTAAACTGAGTTGAAATGGTTGCTATTGCCTCTGCAGTACCTAATCTAAATTAATCGATCAATAAATCGAAACTAGTACTCTAGTAGTTATACCAAAAAATATTGTCGTCCTTCATGTTTGATAGTTTTACCTTATTAATGCAGGCCGACCTACGTTGCACACTTAATTTTGATGGGTGTGTCTCCCAGTAAGAATTTTATGCATATATAAGAACTCAAACTCGAAACCTTACTTAAGCAATATCAAGTTAATTGCCACTCGAACCAACAATGTTGATAGAATTTGTATTAAATATTCATATTTTCCTTTTACTTCTTGCCCCCACTCGTTTTATGTTTTTTATATTTGTTATTATCGACAATGATATTAATATGTATTGAATGTTGATGGTTAGGCTTTATATTTTTTATGGTTAAATTTAATTTTGTCTCTTCGATAAGAGTTTATTTAATTATTTTATTAATATATTATTGAATTAATAAGTGTCCAAAGTATATCATTTTTCTCAAATAGATACTTAAACTTTTTTTGAATCATTCAGGTGTCAACGTTACAAACGTTACCACTTTAAGTGCCCCGGCTGTAATTGTCGTTAAATTTCTCCGTTAAGTGACACATGTCATATTCTGATAATTTTTATTTTTTAAAAAATATTATTATAATTGGTCGTTGAGATCACATCGGGTCGTGATTTGCTGCATAGGAATGTCGATTGGTCGTGATTTCATAGGGTTATCGATCATCGGTGCAGGTGAGATCGAGTAGAGATTTGTTGATAAAAAGGGGTGACAACTGACCTGAGTTTATGAGTTAAAATGAGGGTTTTCAAGTTTTGGGTTTTTTTAAAAGTATTTCAAAAATTTTGTATTTTTTAATATATATTTTTTATTTAATTTTTTAATTACCAAAACACGACACATTCTCTTTTAATGGCATAATTTAACAGCAGTCATAGTTTGAGTACCTAAAGTAGTAACATTTAGGGATGGGCATGAGACTCGAACTCGACGGGTTCCGACCAGACCCGATCGAGTAAGTTTTTTTTAATTCGGGTTTGGGTCGGTTCGAGATATTTTTTAATGTGATGTTCGGGTCAGGTCGGGTTTGGTTTTAGGGTGAAATTACCCGACCCGACCCGACACGAAAAAATATATAATTTTACCTTATATATTTAAGAATAATTACAATAATACCCCTCTATATATTATTTTTTCAATAAGTCACTATTTTTATTGAATAAAAATAATAGTTTTTATTATTTCGGGTTGGGTTTTTATCGGGTCGGGTGGAATCTTATTTTGGTCGGGTCGGGTCGAATATCTTGTGGAGGATTCTTTGTTCTCGGGTCGGTTTGGGTGGACCAAAAACCCGAACCAATCCGACCCATGCCCATCTCTAGTAACGTTTGTAACGTTAGACACCTGGATGATTAAAAAAAGTTTAAGTGCCTATTTGGAAAAAGTGGTATAGTGTGGGTACTTATTTTATAGTTAAGCCAATTAAAAAAATGAAAGGAAAGGTGGCGGGATCGGGACCCAAGATGTCTGCGTCGTTTACAGTACCAGCATGTGTGCGCATGTTGGGAGTAGGAATAATCCAGAGCAGCTGGACCAATGAGGGGTGGTAAGGCTGCTGAAATATTACGACATTTCCATCCTTTTTTTTTACGATTTTTCATTCACTCTTATTTTATTTTTCATTTAAAAAGATAATGGTTTTACAAGTCACTATTATCTGCCGCTAAGTCATATAATACAACAATCATTGCATTTGTATATTGCGTGTTCAAAACCTAAATACTGATTAACCGTTATCAAATTATTATTATTATTATTGTTTGAAATAGTGATATATATCAATGTGTCGAAGTTTAAATTCACATAAAATAAAAATAATTGAATTTGATGAAATAATACATTTTTATTCAATTATTATATTAATTTTTAATATGATGACAAAATGGAGTTAATGTTCAGTAATGTGAATTCTAGGAATTCAACATTTTGTTAATAAAGCAATAACGAGATGTAAAATTATAAATCAAATTGCAATAACGAAATCAGTAAAGTTTAAGGTAAACCATACGTTCAGTGACTCAATTATTATTATTTTTTATTTTGGTCACTCGATTTTTTCTTTTAAAATCAAGCCTAACATTATGTTTTGGTTCCATTTTGATTATCCACTGTAAAAAAATTAACAGGAATTATGACACGACATTTCTTTATTTTTAATAATGATGTGATATTATCTTACGGTGGCATGTCAGTATCAGTGTTAATTTTTTAACATCGAATGACCAAAATAAAATCAAAACTAAACATTAATGATTTAAACAAAAAATTGAATGATCAAAACGGAACAAAAATTGTAATTGCATGTTTGGTTGATGAAATATAATATTTCTTCTAAATATAAATTTTTTTAAATTTAAAATTATTTAACATATCACTTAATGAGATTATTATATACATGTTTAGTTTATTTGATATAAATATAAAATCATAATATTTGATTAGAATAATATAAATTTATTTTTTATTAAATATTTAATATAAAAATAAGTATTTAAATTATACATCGAAATACGATTTGGTGTCTAAAGAATTTTTCATTAAAAATAGGTATCTAATGTTTCTAACGTTACACTTTTAGGTTTCTGGGCGTTAACCGCCATTAAAAATTTTCGTTAAGTGAAACGTGTCACGTTATGATAATTTTAAAAAAATTTATTTAAAATAAAAAATATATATTTTTAGAAAAACCATTTTTTCAAATCTTAAGAAAAATCCAAAACTTTTAGAACTTTAATTTTAATCCCTTTGCCACCCTTTGCCAATCGCCACTAACACAGTCAATCAGCCCAACGCCCAATGATGTGTGGCTGATCAACCACTCACGACCAAAATCTCCATACTTTCACTATCAATCAAACTCTTAAAATAGTATAAATGAAAGATTTATTTTAGAGTTTTGAATTCCTTAAATCGATCGTGGTAATCGATCGTTTGATTGAATGTGGCGGTCGATTATTTACCGTTTGGTCGATTGTGGTTGTCGGTCGTGACAATTACTCATGGCAGTCAACCTTTGGCCATTTGGAGGGAAGAGAACACACGAGGAAGAAAGGAGACCAAGGAGGGAGATGAGAGTTTTTCTAATAAATTTTTTTATTATTAAAAATATTATAAAATCAACTATAAACATCTAAAAGTATAATAAAAAAATATCATAAGTCTATTTTATAGTGAAAAATTCTTTAGACATTAAATTGTATTTTGATGTATAATTTAGACATTTATTTTTGTATTAAACCTTAATAAAATTATCATAGAAAAATATTTTTTTAACTTATTAAAATTTGAATACTAGATTAAAATTATAAAATTATTATCATCATTTAAATTGTAGTATATATTAGGTTGTTCATCTGATTAACTATGAATCGTGTTGTTTACTTAATTAATCCCTCATTCTCTACGAAACTCCTAACTGAAAAAAAGGGAAAAAACTTGAATTTTGTTCTCCTTTGTTTCCTGCTATAAAGGTCAAGTGAAATAGCAAGCTCCACAGAACTCGATAGTAATGAAAAATGGTGGAGCAGATCGCAGACGGAGGCTTTGACGGCTTTGACGAAGGATGATTTTCGTTTCTTCACCTCGTTTGGATTGCTCTTTTTATTTGTTATTTTGATTAGGAAAATAAAAGATAAAGTGAAGAGTTAAAAGCAATGGAGTCCCGGATGGAGCATTACGAGATCATGGAACAGATCGGCCGTGGCGCTTTCGGCGCTGCCATTCTCGTTCGACACAAATCCGAGAATAAGAAGTAATTTTCTAATTTCTCACTCTTTTTTTTTTATTTTTAATAACGAATGCGTGCGTGCGTGTGTTTGAATTTTTGGTATTTGTTTCTATAATTTCCAGGTATGTATTGAAGAAGACCAGATTGGCGCGGCAAACGGAGCGTTGCAGGAGATCGGCCCATCAAGAAGTTAGTTTAATTTGATTATCTAATTTAATCTGTAGTACTAGACAGGTTAAGTTTCCGATTTATAATTTTGCTTGAATTTTGTGGAATGTAGATGGCACTCATAGAGCGAGTTCAGCATCCTTACATTGTTGAATTTAAGGAAGCTTGGGTTGAAAAAGTAAGATACCATCGTTGGATACTACTTCGTTTTGTTGTTTGATGTTGGGTTCTTGAATCAAATCCACTTATACTACTAGCTTGTTGAGCACTTGACTGCCCTTTTTTATGCAGGGTTGCTATGTCTGCATTGTTACTGGATACTGTGAAGGTGGAGATATGTGAGTTTCCAAGCTTGTATGTTGAACTCTGGTTCAGAGCCCTTTGTTCTTCAATTTTTGAAATGTGTCACTATTCTTTTGTTTATACTAACAGGGCTGAATTGATGAAAAAGTCAAATGGGATCTATTTCCCCGAGGAGGTAATATAATTTCCTTAGCTGAATTTACAAGTTAGTTTATTCTTGAGTTATGCCTTGCAAGTGTACACCCATGTTTGTAAACGTTGTGCAGAAACTCTGCAAGTGGTTTGCACAGCTTCTTCTGGCTGTTGAATATCTGCATTCCAATTTTGTCCTGCATCGTGACCTAAAGGTTCATTTAAAAAAAATAGATTAGTCTTTATTGTATCAAAATGATTTATGAACTGACTTTGGCACTGTCTCGTCAGTGTTCCAATATTTTTCTTAGCAAAGATCACGATGTCCGCCTTGGTAAGTTCATATTTTCTCTTTTCTTCTTATTTTCTTACAAGTTCTCCCTCTCTCTCACACATTTCATCCTTAAGCTATATTACATATTCTACTTGATTGCATATTGTTATCCTGAATTTCTGGTCTGAACTGGTTTAGGGGATTTCGGACTTGCCAAAACTCTAAAGGCAGATGATTTGGCGTCCTCGGTATGTAACCAGTAACCATGTAATGAAATACTTTTTTATATGCTTTTTGCCTTTAATATTTTTTAACCATCTCCAAAGACAGAAAAGATTCCTGGGTTCTTTTTTTCTACATTAAGCATATGCTACTAAACTCAAGATAGAGATTTGTTAATCTTTGTGTTCTGTTTGCCAATACCTCAAGTTCCCTGTACATTTTATGGTAAAAGTTCTGCATTGAAGCACGGTACTTTATGATTCATAAAATGCTTCACTTGTTGAGGGACCTGATACAGTAGAAAATTAATATAATTTGTTAATTTGATATTATGTGCCACAGCTTGCAGTTAAACATGGTAATAATTTCAATTTTAGCTGCCGAGAACAAATTGTTATTAACAGTCAAGTGAAAAATTATAAACAGATCAGCCAGGTTAACATAGATAATTCTTCTTCTTCAAGGGAAGAATTAGGTGAGAAAAAGAATCATTTGTTTGTTCTGGTATTGATGTCTCAGTTTCTAAGAAATTGAGAAAATAGGCATGTATGCAACTTCCTTTACTAGTTACTAATCAAAATAAGAATATATTAACGGTAGGGGAGATGTATTTTTGAAGGCCTTGCATTATTATTTAAACATAAAAGAAGCTAAAAATTTCAGAAGGATATGCCATATCGGTCATAAGTGTCCCGAGAAAAAAATGAGCAGGGAGTTGAAATGTGAACGAAGGGGATAATGTCAACAATCACTAGTCTACAACTAGGTGTTCCCAAGCCCATTTATTGACAACCTACTATACTTGGACCCTTTTCAGTGAAGAAAATTTATATACCTTTGATATCTTTTTTTTTTTGGTTTGTTTCTTCTTCCTTTATAAGAATGTGCTAATTATTTGTAGCTTCATTGCAAGTTAATAGTTGTTTTATACGTGGCTCAGGTGGTTGGAACTCCCTATTACATGTGTCCTGAACTGTTTGCAGATATTCCATATGGTTTCAAGTCTGATATCTGGTCTCTGGGTATGTCTTTTCCTAAATACATATTTGACATGGATAAGTCTTTTCCCCCCCTGGTAAACCGTTTCTTGTTGAACAGGGTGCTGTATGTATGAGATGGCTGCTCATCGCCCTGCTTTTAAAGCTTTTGTAAGAGTTCTCGCATTTTTTTTATCGAATTTGTTTCTTGTATTCTGGAATGAACTTACAATAATCTGTCACTAGATCCGATTTTGACAAGTAGCGTGTATTTCATTTGATATTATATTAAAACCAGGAAATTGTAAGATTTCTAGGTTTTTCTGCTTCCCCTTTCTTTTATCTTCTTGTCACCATTACCAAATGTAGCAAGACTTTGTATCTGTTCTTTATCTTAATTAGGAACAAGTAGTAGCCCTTTTCTAGGTTCATATTAGTTCCATGAATTCTGTGCTCCTCTCTTTTAAACAGTGCTTTCAAAATGCGTATGTTTGTCTACTTGACTGGTTTAATTTAATGCCCTTTGAGAGGTTTTCTGCAACTGATAATTTTATGCTTTCTACTAACCATGTAAATTATACAATTTTGATTCAACTAACTTTTACCAAACTTATAGGACATGGCGGGGTTGATAAACAAGATAAATCATTCCTCTATTGGTCCTTTGCCTCCTTGTTACTCTCCGTCCTTGTAAGTCTTATGGGCATTTTAGAACTCACTGTTGTTTATTTGCATGATGACCGAGTAGTCCACATGATTTTTTATGCTCTTACATCCTTGGTTTTTTTCTTTTGCTTCTAATTATTCTTTCATATACTATGTATGGAAAAAGTCGAGATATCTTAATGCTTTATCTTCTGGCAAGGAATCAACTTCACTGTAGATGATAATTTGTTTAATGTTACACATACAGGAAAGCACTTATCAAGGGCATGCTAAGAAAGAATCCAGAACATCGACCAAGTGTAAGAGTTTCTTTTGGCACATCTCCAAGAATTCTACACCAGCAAAATGTAACAATTTGATTTTTCATCTTGATTAGGCATCAGAACTTTTGAAGCACCCTTATTTGCAGCCATATGTTGATCAGTATCGTCCGTGCTTCAGCTACACTTCAACAAAGTGCTCCTTGAATACTCATATTTCCCCTGGCCGAGAATCTCGCGATAATAGGAAAAATATGGCTGAAAGTCAGAATAGTAATAGCTCATACAGTGAGAAAGATAGTTTGCTTCCAAGTGACAGAAACACTGCCACAATGGTTTCTAATAGCAATAGCAAGGCCACTGACACAGATTCAATTTCTAATCATGAAGAAGGAAGCTCTGAGCAAGACCTGCCGTGTGAAGAAGAGAATGGTCCCATTGTTTGCATAAGCAAAGTTGATGAAAAAGGAAGAACGAAACCTTCTTTTCTGGAACAGGGATCAAACGTTCAACCAAAACAGCCAAAAATCATAAAAAATATAATATTGGCTTTGAAAGAAGGGAAACTAAGAGAAAATGGTTCCCCAATGAGAGGCAGCCGTACAAAAGCTGCAGGTGGATTGACTCAAAGAAGTAAAGTAGAAGCATCGCCCAAAGTTCTCAAACCCCCTGCTCCCACTCTGGGTTCAAAATCTAAGCCAGATACACCAACTGTGGCTTCAGCCAAATCACCATTAGGTTCTGCAAAAAGGAAACCGGGATCACACCATTTGAAGCACCAGGTAAGGCTGCCACTCAGTGTTTCTATTTTAATCTTATTCATTATCAATATCCTCTCTTAATTTGCAAGATTCTTCTATCCAGTTACCTTTAATTGAATCCTCCCCAAAGGCCAAACCTCAACACGAGGGGATTCCTCATCCTGTACCTAGCAAGCATGTTGCTGAAGATGTACTACCTTTCAAGCAAATGCAAAGAACTCCTTCCAATGTTGCAAGACTATCATCTATTACTGGAAGAATGAAGCATGCTGAAAGTGATGCTTCAAATTTAGCAAGTAACGTACCAAAGTTAGGATCTCCTGAGATAAACCAGGAGCGTGAGATTATTCCTCGTGAACTGCCCAATGGTTTCCTTAGAAATGCTTCTAGGATGGTAAAACCTGAGATAGCTCTAACGGCAGGTAGCAAGGGGGTGCAAACAGAGAGCAGCAATTCTGCCTCATCTTCAATCTCAGTTAAACCATTTGACATGCATGCTGGTGCAACAACCTCTTTCATCGACATAACAGAACAGGTGCATGATCATGAGAAAACCAACCACACAGAGAGCTTGGAATCACATCCACCATACTACTTACCTGCTCTGAAATCAGACACACCTGAGGTTCTTTTGAGAGAAAACAACGGGTATGATCATAAATCAATCATGTGTTCAAGTGAAGAGTCTTATCCAACCAGTGATCTTCATTTTACTTCAGTTGATGCGAAAAGGAATCTGAGTGCCCCTATGGACCTTTCAGGCCGGGTTTCTGAAGAAACATTGGTTCGTAAAGATGATTCCCCTGTATTCTGGACATTCAGTAGGGAGGATTCTCCATTAGTCCGTACAAGTAGCATCGATGATACTCCTTCAAGCAAAATCAATAATAAGGATGATATCCATACAAGTGATCCTAGCTGTAGGGATGACGTCCCAATAAGGAGGTCAAGTAGCAGTGGTGACATCCCAATAAGAATGTTAAGCAGCTCGGATGGTGCCCTCATAAACAGCTCAAGTAACAGGGACAATGCCCTTATTAGCAGTACAAGCAACAGGGATTCCCCTATAAGTGAACCAACTACCGGTGAAGATTGCCCCGTTCTCAGGCCTAGTATTAAGGATGAAACTCTGGCAAAAAGACCAAGTAGCAGAGCTGATATGATGCTCCATTCAAATCTTTCTTTTGCATCTGGCAGTGATCACAAGTACACTGTAACAGAACTTTGTTCGTCAGTTGCAGGAAATATGCCTTCCCTTGCCACACCAATTTTATCCAGCCAGGAGAATTCACTTCCAGACAAAAAAACAAATGAGCCTAGTCCTACAGCAGTGACCTCATATCCTCCAGTTTTCGATGATGTTATACATGTTATTAGGCATAGTAGGTTCCGTGTTAGCAGTGAGCAACCGGTGATGGAAAACGTGGAACGTGGTGTGGATGTTGGGAATTTCATAAATGTTGTGAGGGATGAATTGGACATGAAAAACATGACTAGTCCAATAAGCCTCATGTCATCAAGTTGCTCTGAAGCTTCAAGTTCAAAATCAAACGTTTCGGATTATGGTGGTGCTAAGGAAACAGATGTTAGAAACTCCATTTCCTCATCCCCAGGATCTGATTCAGCACCGGAAAAAGAAACACTGGATGTCAATTCGGATAGGCAAAGGGCAGAGGCACTTGAAGGGCTTCTAGAATTGTCTGCAGAGTTATTGCAACAGAAGAGATTGGGAGAGCTTTCAGTTGTTTTGAAGCCTTTTGGGAAAGGCTTGGCGTCCCCTAGGGAAACAGCTATATGGTTAGCCAAGAGTATGAAAGGAATGACGGTTGAGGACTGTCCACGGAATTCATGAATCATTATTTCTGGGCTAAGCTTCTTCTTCTTTGCCTTGTTTATTCACATTGGTTTAACCATTCCTATGCCCTTTCACCCCATATTAGGAATCTCATTCTATTCCTCAAACTTTTGAATATTTCAAAATAATCCTCAAACTATGACTCATTCTAAATTAAAGAGCTGATTACACCCCAAATCCTCAAACTATGACTCTCATTCTAAATTGGTCCCTGAATTTTTTAACATTCAAATTATGAATATTTCAAAATCTTCCTCAAACTTTGACCCTCATTCTAAATTGGTCCCTAAACTTTTGAACAACCCTCCAAACCATTCAAAAGTTTTGGGACCAATATAAAATGAAGCTCATAGTTTGGATATGATTTTGAAATGTTTAAAAGCTTGAGGACTAAATTAAAATAAGAGTCATAATTTAGCGATGAAATTACAATATTCAAAAGTTTAAAGACCAATTTAAAATAAGGGTTATAATTTGATGATATATATTGAAGTTAACTAAAAATTAAATAAAAAAAATATTATATTTAGGATGACAACCGCCTCCTTTTCCATAGCTTTGGTGGCTCATCATAGTCGTAGGCAAATGCGTTTACCATTTACAATGCTACTGCTACACTTGGGACTTGGCCCAGGCCTCTTTCTGCACAAGTCAACAACACTTAAAATAAATTTATTTATGTAATACATTTCATTCAAAGAATTGCCCATCCAGCTGTAGAACGTAAGGTTCTTAACCTTATGGTCGTGGGATCAAGTCCTACGGTAGGCAATTCATAATTGCTGGAGGTCTTTCACGGAAGTTGCTCCCAACCTAGCGTTGGGAGTAGTCTACTACCTTACTTCCCCCTTATCTCATTACATATGAGAATAGGGTCAACTAATTTTTTATAATACATTTCATTATCAGTATTCTTTTAATATTTTAGGATAATTATAAAATAATATTACTGTATAATTTTTATAATCATTGATGATATATACATATTCTGATAATTATTCGGATCGAAGATCTTAAGAAAAAATAACACTCTATTTAGTTATTAAGATCGCCAATAGGTTCTCATTATTAATATTTTAAAACAAAATACAACATTCTAAATATATATTTATATATAGTAAATGAATGAATAATAATAGTCGTGAAACATATTTGAATTGTCGTAACAATCATAAATTATAATATCTAACATAAAAATAATATTATAAATAATATACTAATTATTATTAAAGATGTAATTTTAAATATCGTTTTAATTTTAATTGATAATGAATTTTGATTTCATCTTAAACAATTTATCCCTTCCCTTTACTTTAAACAATATGAATTTGAAAGAGAAATCAAACCGTAAGAAATTGACCACGAGAGGTATTAGAAGAGATAATATTTTTTAAAATTTTAAATATTTTCTATTAATAATTTAATTTTATACTCCTAAATTTTAATATATTTTCTGCCGGTTGAATAAAACTATAGTCAGTAATGCCCAACTCTTTTGACAGACTTTTGAAACTCAAAATGCGGGTTTCTTAAAAACTTCACATAGTTGAGGCAAGCCCAACACTTTTGACAGAGATTACCAAAGCAAAGCCCACCACACCAAGACTCTATATTTTTAAAAAAAACCAAAAAGACATTCTTATTCTTTAAAAAAATCAATGTGGTCCTCTTATTATTTTTTCTCTCTCAATGTGGCCCTCCAACTCAAGAAATAAGCCCCATGTGACCCTTTGGCCAACTTTTATCGTCGTTGACCGTTACGGTACTTACGTGACAGTTTACAGTGCTAATATGACGGTCAACGGCGTCGACGTGGCAGGCCACAATGATTGATAGCGTGGTAGATAACATGGAAGATGGGCTAAATTGGTAACTCGAACATGGCAGATAAACTGTCACGCCAGTACCATTGACTATCACGTCAGTACCGTGAACTACCACATCAATATCGTAATGGTTAAACAACGAAAAATGTTGATCGAAAGGCCACATTGGATTTGTTTTATGAGTTAGAGGGCCACATTGAGAGAAAAATAATAATATAAGGACCACGTTGATTTTTTCCCCAAAAATACAAGGACCTCTTATGCCTTTTTTTTTCCCAAACAAAAAACTTTTCTTGCACTTGGAGCAAGTAAATTTATACAAAAATCTGAGCTTATCAGATAACATTTTTTTTATTGGAAATTCTCATCATTTCAAAACCGCAAACATATCATATAAGATCACCGCATTGCAGTGTGCTTGTTCATCTCGTTCCTTAATTATACTGATCCTTATTCTCACAAGAATAGATTATATTTCACGATTAACCCTTCATTTCTTAGTATGGGAATTAGTCACCGTTATATGAGAGAAAAAAAAGGGGAAATTTTAATTAGGTACAACATTGTTTTTTTAATTGTCCGTCCAGCTCAGTTGGTAAGAGCGCAAGGCTCTTAACCTTGTGGTCGTGGGATCGAGTCTCACAGTGGGCAATTCATAATTCTGAATGCCGGAGGTCTCCCACGGAAGCTGCTCCTCAACCTGACGTCGAGAGCTGACTACTATCCTGTTTCCCCTTACCTCATTACATATGAGAATAAGATCAGCTAATTTTTTATTATTTTTTAAATTTTTGAGGAAAGCCAGCACAACATTAATCGATGTATATTTTATCGCCGCACCTAATGCAACGGCGCAATTACAGGGTCTCTCGGCATTATTGGGTTGCCAATTATGAGCATTTGACGCCAATTTGGTATTTTTAACGATCCAATTTATCCGTATATGTTTAAAACCCCTTTTTGTTTTTATCATCAATGGCGACAGCATTTCAAATCCGTCCATCATATCACACACGACCCTGAGCCTGCCTTCTAGAGGCTGTAAAATATTGCCCAACGTAATTTACCATAATGATCGAATGATTTTTGTTCAATGGAATCATAATTCCTTTTCAGGCTGCTGTAATCTTTAATAAGGAGAGAGTCGGAGTGGGGTCTGTCCCCATCAAATTATGTTTCAATTTTGCACATTTCTGCTCCCCTCCTCCATTCTTAGATCTTCTCCACCAACAGTACCAACTCTCCAAAACCTCATCAATTTAATTTAAACAGAATGTTGTTAATTTAGGCATAATATTGTTTTTTAATTAAATTAGAACCATTTATAAAATATGTGTACGTTGTCAATTGACAAAATAAAATTCTAAACACAAACCGTTTTATAATCACCTTAAACCGTTAAAATGATCATAATAATAAATTAATGTAATGAATCTAAATTCTGAATTATGTTGGACTAAAAACCTTGGTATTAACTTGAAATCTTATGCACAGCTTTTATTAGTAAAACAACGTTGCAAAACACTGTGCCTCCGGACCCCGCCACCAAAGGGAAAAGTAGTCAATCATTCTTTCTTTAATATGAGATTTTAATTATTTATTTATAATCTGAATTAAATATAAGATAATATTTGTTTAGAAATAATTCTTAATCTTTTAATATTAAAAGCTTACATTCCTAATATATATGATGCTCAAACCCGGATCCTCAAAGAATAATAACAATTCATTTATCATAGAGATAGTTTGGTTTGTGATTTAATTATCATTTGTAAGTACAATTTTTTTAAAAGTTCATGTATAAACCTAATCTATACAGATAATATAATAATAGTAATCAATGTATTAAATAAACGGGAATAAGGAATACTAAAAAATAATGAATCGAACCCCACCCGGATTATGAGCAACCTTTCTATCATTTAATGATTTCAACATCAAAGCGCCTTTATTTTTTTTAAAAAAAAAGGAACAACATACAATAATTAGCTATCATGTATCCTACACTCAACATTATTAAGATAAATAAAAAAAAGTCAAAACTATAAAAATATTACCCACTCCTAATTTTCTTCCCCGTTTTCCCCAAGAAAAAACCTGTCTTCTTTTACTGACTGAATTCCAAGAAGTCCAAAAATTGGAGATAAAAAAACACATTTAACGATGGATATGGGACATATAGAATTTTACTATATACATAACTGTGGCTTTAACCCTAATCTCTCATTCCTCAGATCATATTCCACGTAATAATTCTGCATCTGAAAACTCCCCAACACTACAGCTGGTCCACTATGCCCCACTTCAGCCTTTCCTCCACCGACACCGCCATCTGTCACCACTATCAAACACGCCACCCCATCTCCGACCACCGCGAAATAATTCTCCAGTGGCAGCGCCATTTCCGCGCCGCCTTTAAAACGCAACCTCAACTCAGGAAATTCCACTTGTTTATCCCCATCGCTAACATTAAAACAAGGCCTCAACCCCGTTAAGGCCTCAACATCACGGGCTCGACTGTAATTCTTAACCTGTTTCACAAATTCTGTAGCTACGGGCACGAATATCTCACGAGCCATGAAAGTGAAGGTCGAGCCGGAATCCACGATGGTGCCGCCATCGCCACCTTTTCCTGGCGAAAGAAGCTTGTAAGGAACCTTAACGCGGCGGCCACCTACTGTTATCTTCCTTAAACCAACGTAGTAATAAACTCGGAAAGCTTCTTTGCCTTCGACAACGGGGTTTTTGAGAAACGGCGTGTAAATCAAACCATTCGTTTTCCGATCAAAATCGGAGGTGCTATCAAGTATCAAAGTGCTGCTCCTAGGAGAGTCGTCGAAACGGCGAGAGATGAGACAGTAAGAGAATTTATTTAGCTTAAGTTGAGAAGGTAAAGAAGGCAGTCCCCGGCCGAACCCGGCGATGCCGGCGGGTTGCCGGGAAGAGAGAACGGAGCATCCGACTAAGAAATTGTTGACAGTTCTGTCACCAAGATTTAGGGTTTCCGATAATGCAAGTCCCGCCGTGGTTCCTGAGCCGTAGAGGATGAAGTAAGGGGGACAAACTTGAGTGCATTTTCGGGGTTTGGGGTTGTTTTGGCATTCGTCGCATTGGGTCTTGTTGGTGTGGTGGACCCATGAACATTTTGGGTTCCGGCAGCCGACAAGCCTGGAAGATGAAGATAACTTGGGGATAAAAGATGGGATGGTAGTGTTTCTGAAGGAAGATGAGGAAAAGGAACACTTTTTGCATACATAGCGATGGGTACAGGGGAACCAAACGAAGTCACTGCCGGTGTCCATGACGAAAGGGAGGATTTGAGGTGGAGTGCCGAAGCTGAGAGAAATGGAGTAGGCTCCATAGCTGTGGGAAAAGAGTGGGGTGGCGGTGTTGTTGCCGGCGGCGGCGGATTTGGGGTTTTTAAGGCGATGAGCTCTTGCTAAAGAGGAAGAGACAAGGTGGCTGAGGATCTGGTACGGATCTCGAGATGGGTCATCGGCATCTAACTGTGTGACTTTGAGTGGTAAATGCAGAGCAGAGGCGATGAAGGGAAAAACGCAGAGCAAGAGAGATAAGAAACGGAGAACACGAGGAGAACACATGGTTTGCACCTTCCTTCTTGGGGCACCAAAAAAAAGAGAGATTTTTGTTGAAGATTCTTTTATTGGAGGGAGAGATGAGATGGCTTTAATAATACACACACATATAAAGAGAACAAAGTTTAGATGTCTGGCGTTAGGGTTGGGTGTTAAATTTGGCTCAACTGTGTGCGTGAGTTTGATGAGAGAAACTGTGGAAGAACAGTAAATTGAATATCATGGGTGCATGTGCTGCGGCAAGTGAAGGGATATTGAAAGTTCAGAATAATCTTGTGACTTCCTTGAGAGAGGAATGTGACGCTGACTTTAGCTGGCTTTGATCACACCCTGTCTGTATAATACTACTACTATATTTTGTATGCAACAAAAGCATGTGGTTATAGAACAAAATCCAGACGAGAAAATGATATTTGTCACTTAATTAAAACATGAGACTCAGACGAGCTAATTACACGGATTATCACTAAAACACATGTTCTTCCAAAATGTTAATTATTAATACAAAAAGTAAAATATAGAATGCTTTATTATATGATCAAATATATAAACACTGACGTAAATATGCAAACAAATTATTGTTGCTATCCTCAACCCACCCATCAAGGCAATCTAAAAGCTTAAAGTGCTCGTAAATTAAAACAAAATCATTTTTTAACTATAAAGTTAAGATAGCACCAACCCGATAAGTTCATATAATGCCGATCAAGTCAAATTTTGAGATTCAAAATTTGCAATTGTATATTTATTTTAAGATTCCGACTTATTACTTTGTATAGTTAGAAAAAAATTGGAAGTTTTCTTGAATTTGTTTTTAAATATGTAATATATAACAAAAAGAAAAAAAAAGTCTTGGGGTTTTAGTCTTCCCCAATGTAATTGTAATCCACATTTAGAAAGAGAGAACTAACCAGTCATTGCTGTTTAGCCCACTTGCGCGCCAGAAAACTTTCGCTGCAGCAATTGCATCTTCACCTCTTTTATGATGGTCATACTTGGATTCATCAACTGATATTTGTTTCTCTGAGACCCCGTCTTGCACTGCAGTATCAAGAAGTGTATCATCGGTAATATCTGGCCCAGAATTGGGATTCATGGTTTTCTGGACAACTTGTTTCATCCCCACTGTAGTCAGCTGTCCCAGAAGACTCGAGAGCGTTTGAGTTGGGCAATGGCTGAACGTTGTTGGATACATTTTACCAAGGTTGAAGTACCTCCTCCTCCAGTAAATATATTCCAAGATAATTTACTTTCAAATGAAAACCTGAACCAGTATTGGCTTGTAAGAGGTAAAAAGGTGAAGATTGAAACACTTCAATTGGAGTAGAATCAAGATAAACCAGTTACATTTGTACTAATAAAGGGTTTCAGATTTTAACATGCACTATTACACTGAAAGGGAAAAAGGAAATGTGAGGATGGACTGATGTAAAAGCTGGCATGAGATAGTTTATTTTATTTCAAGTCATAGTCTCATAGATGAATAGTGAAACGACAATAATAGGAATTCTGTCAGAATTACGATGGATGGAATGCAGGACAGGATAGAAAGAAGGGAGAAGAGAGCAAATTATTCCCCTTATTCAATCTGCTTAAGAACTACAACAGCTATTCTACACACCATCAAAATTGTAAACAATTCAGAATTATTGGTTGAAACCGTGGAACATTGTATATATGTGCATGTAAAATTACTCAAACCAAATTCTGAACGAAGAAGTGACAAGTAACATTGCATGAAGTTGAAGAAAAGGCTCAACATACATCATCTTTCTCCTGTCAAATTTGACATAAGCGGTCCTCTTCCATTCATTTTGCCATCTCAGCAAGTTTTTTCTTGTAGACTGTAGGTACTGGTCACAAACATATCCTTGTCTGCATAAAGGTGATTCTCTTTACTTCTTTCTTTCACAAGCTTCCTCTCTCCCGCTTCCACTTACGTTGCTCTGCTTTCTTATTTTAAATATGAATATATTTTGGGTGCAACAATAACCAGCATTCTCGTAAGTGATTAATCCTACATTATATTTGAGTAATTATTGGTACCAGTTTATGCCTTTTATTTGGTATAAAGATTTATATAAAAAAGAGTCAAATAAATAAACGGAATCATTAAGGTTATTACAATCAAATAATACTATAAGAAAATTTCAAATATGCTAGGAATTTTACCTTCCGCTCCTATCGATCTTGAATGCAGGGACGAACAGCCTTCTCTTTCATCTCATCGTAAACTCTGATGTAATCGAACACCGAAAGATCTTCCTCTAACGGTTTCTTATGTTGCCCCTCAATCTTTAAAGAGAAAGAGAAAGATTTCAAATTCAGTCGAGTTATAGAAGTAATTCTAATGAAAAGAAGAAAAAAGGAAATCGAAGTGAATCTTACATCCTTGAGAGATTTGTTCTTGCTTCCTTGTCGATAAATCTCTCTCCAAATCGTCGTTGTTGTCGTCGAAGAAGCCGAGGGGAGAGGCGGCGGAGGTCTTGTCGCCGGCATTTTCTGCTGCAACGGTGGAACCCCAAGCTGTAGACCGTACTTCATGAATTTCTGAACTAAAGTTTGGTTCCCCGGGCAATTTCGGATCCAAATCCGCCGAGCTTTTTTATTTTCGCCCGATTAGCCAAGCGTTTAATTGATTAAGTCTTAATCCATTTCCCTCGCAGTCGTGTAATTTTAAAATTATTTTTGGTGTAATTTTATAATGGTCAAATTTTGTTATCAATAAAGTAATTTAAGGACTTAATTGTTGTTTTTTTGTTTGTTAAAATTACACCTATTTGACAAAATAATTGAATGGCCTAATGTATAATTTAACTAAAAACGTAAGGTTTTAAATCTCGTTTCTGTCAAAGTTATGAGCGATCAATTGTACTACAATAATGTAGATCATAAAAAAATTAAAACACTTGAAGAATAAGAGTTTAACCATTTAAAGGTTAATTACTTGAAGGTTTAGCATTTTAAGACGGTTGAATAAATGCTAATAGAACTCATCAAGGGACATCAATGATAAAATAGAATGTTGATCTCCATGAAAGTATTGAATTCGAGTAATTGTGTTTACAAAGTGTGTTGTCAAAATTATCAAAGTCATATTCAATTGTATATATATATATATATATATATATATATATATATATATATATATATATATATAATTCCAAAATCGTATTAACTGATCATTTCCCTAGAATTATCAAAATACAAAAATTAATTATTAAATATCATATAAATAAAAGAATAAAACCCCAACCAAAAACTAGAAAATAAAAAATCATAATAGCTACAAAATTACCTTGGATAGAAACTATGAAACTTAATCAAACAATTAGCAACCGAAAATAAAAATAAAAGAACAACATGAAGAAAAGCCAACCTTCAAAGCTTATTTTGTAAAGATGAGTCAATTTCAGTTTGATTGCCCTGTGATTCGTATGAAAGTATATTTGACAGTATATGTGCTAACCTCATTGGTACAATGAATTGTTGTTAATCCTATAGATCACGGGTTCAAGCACCAGCAGTTACAGCAGGATGATTGAACATTTATAGTCAAATGGTTGAGATTATTTAGAACAAATACTATTTTGTATCCACCTTAGCTTAATTAAAAAAATCTTAAATATTCATATCATATACTATCTCAAATAAAACTAAGATTCATCTTTCAGTAGGATAAAAGAAAAGTACAACTGATTGTATCGATATCCAATATAAGGGGAGAAACAAACTAAATGAACAAATTGGAGAAGAAGTTTCTAAGACAAAACAACAAAGGTTTTGGGATGCTTTTAGTAGAGTTTACACCATTATATATTGTAATACCCCAAACTAGTGTCTAAAATGTAAGTTTTGAAAGTTTAGTGGCTAAAATATAAACTTTAAAAAGTATAGGGGCTAAAAATGTAATTTTAAAAAGTTATATATTTTAGCCCGTGAACGAATCATTTGACCTAAAACAAGTATTTTCGTAGTAATCAGATTTTTTGTACGAGATTTATATTAAAAGTTATAAAGTGTTAAAGTTTGGTATAAAAATCAGATAATCGGATCGAACTGTAATTTTACGAAAATTTGAAGGAGGTTAGAGGATGGTTGGAAATATTTTTTTCATATTTTAGATCAGATAAATTTAGCTCAAATCAATGTAATTTTTCAGATTTGGTTGAACAGTGGAAATTTTAGTGATTAAAATGCAATTTTTGAAAATTACATGGATAAAGTAGAAAGTCAAAGTCAAGTTTATTCATCTTTTACTAAGGAATATTTGAATGGAAGATAATGCAATGACAATTGGTAACTTTTAAGATTCATTAATGATATTTTTAGAATTTCTCATTAATTGAATTTTAAATTCAATTATATTTTTAAAGTGCCACTTGTTAAGGTTAATTTGTACTAGAATAATCAAGAAATTTAGCATAATTTCAACCATCTCCAAGCTTAAGGCCGAAACCACCATTGCTTATAGGTAAGTAATTTTTTTAAGCTCGCATGATTGATTTTTGGACTAAGTTGTGAAATAGAGAATTAATCTACATGAAAATCTCTATCATTTGGTACAAGTATTACATGGTGAACAAGCTTATGTGTTGAGATTGAAAGTTAGGGTTACGTAGGTTTTGTGGAGTTTGAAGAATTAATGAAAGATTATTGTGTTTTTGATGTTGGAGATTAATCCTCGAGCATGTATGATGTTTAAAATCAAGTGTAGAGTGATCTAAATCATTCGACCACTTTATGGTTTTAGGGATTGATTGGATTTTGATTCAATTTGATGTTGTAATGGTACAAATTACATGAATTTGATCTAAGGGGGTTGAATTCATGCTTGAAATTGAAAGAAAACCATGTCCTAAAGCACTATATAGGTTCGGCCATTAGGGAAATTTAGGGGGAAATGTTGAAATAATTCCTATGGTCTTGTAGTGATATTAGAAGTGTTTTATGTAACTTGGAGATCAATTTGAAAGCTTGAAAAAAGAAAAAGGTATAATTTATAAGTTTTGGGAATTGAGGGATATTATTGCAATAATGTGATATTTGTGGTGTTCAATGTTAATTTTTAGTATTTGAATGCTGGGAATTTAAGTA